CATCAGAACTTTACCCATTGCAGACACAATCTTTTCTGAGACAACTTTTCAAAAACTATAGACTTGGTGTCATCCTTAAATAGGAGAATACGACCTTAAAGGAACTCACAATACAGTACAGGTTTAGTGCAGGCCCAGTACATTCTGTAGACGAGCACACTAGATGACAGCAATAAAAATGATCTGCATTTCGTATCAAAAGATTGCTGATTGTCAAAACCATGGAAGGGCTAGAACATATTAAAGTTCCAAAAAAAAGAATATTACCTCAGGCAACCTTATTATCTTGAAACCTTCTGTACATTTATAAACTGATCTATGTTGTCCATCAAAATTAGCTGAATATTTCTGACTACAGTTTCCTTTCCATTATTTTTGTTAAGTTTTAAGTTTTGACCGAGGTTAATGGATTTGGTATATTTAGAGTTGACTGAATTTTATCCTGACATATCGTCCATCAGACAACTGCATGTATTTTTTTAATGATGTAAGATTCATATCTAAATACACTGGAGGCATGTTAACTGATAGATGGAGTCCTGGTTTGACCTAGAATTTTTACGAGTCTATTTCTGTATTTTAATGACAGATTTCATGTTGACAGCTCTGCAGTACTCAGGAAGCATGTTCCAGAAAGATTTGAGCTAGAAGACATTGATTATGCACATTTTCTTCATCAAACATGATCAAGCCATTGTTTGGGATAATGATATTCAAATCTCAAGGGATACTTTTGGTGGTAAAATATAAATTACTAAATGGTATTGAAACTTATGCTTTCCTTGTCTGTTAACGTTTAACATGGAAAGTTAAGTCTCCTTTGAAATAGATAGAAATTATGACTATATTGTTCTCTACACATGTATATACAATGCATATTCGATCCATATCGGATATTCTGAGTGATTCTAGGTCTGCTCGGATTTTGCAGAAGACTTTTGAAGCCTTCGGAATATGCCAATGTGGAGTATTATGTCTGGGTCTGGTCATTCCCCCGAGTCTGCCAACTTTGATGTGAGGGTGATGGGTGGTGGGGTAGGTTGAGAGGTCACAGTCTTCACATTCCCCGCTACCTTGTAACAAGTCAACAACACAGGCACAGTGTGTTCAGTAAAGCTGTGTGAACATGCATTATAACATGGGGTTGGGTGGTGGATTTGGCTCTTTATACATGCACTGAAATGACTTTTGCTGAGCTTTCGGATGACTACTCTGCAGTTGTTGTGGGATATTTTCACGTGGGATAGTTCAGTTCAGTTCAGTTTTATTCAGATCCACAACTAGCCTCATAAGAGGCTATTCTTCCTGTGGTCTACACATTCATATTCACATACATATATTACAAACGTACAAAGACATTACAAAATTAACAGTACATGGCAAACTTTACACAATTCACTATTTACAATCCAGTACTTTGCTAGTTGCCTATGTTATTCCACGTGTGTGACATCCTGTACATAAAGCGCTAGTTTAGCATGGAATATTTTCTACATGGCGAAAAAAACTGTCGCTGGAATCCCCAAGTTATTGTGAAATGTCTCTTTCTGATGCTTCAATGTTAAATTTGATTTTGTGGATGTTGAGTGAGAGAATGAGCGTAACTCCCCCCCCCCCAACCGTCCTAGGTATCTGTTCTGTATGACAGTTGTAGTAAGTATGTCTCTGTAAAGTGCCTCTGCAAAGGAGTGCTGTAAAGTGGGCCTAAAGAGTCAGTTTGACAGAACATGTGCCGCAGCTGTGTCCTGACCTGGTTATCACCACTTTGATTAGCTTGCTTATCACCCATCAGCTGAAAGGAAGGGGAAACACTTCATCACATGTATCAGCTCTGCTGACAACCAAGCTCAAGATCTCTCCTGTGTATCACCAGCAGGGCTTTGATGTATGGTGTTGGCTTCGTAACCCCTAACCACTGATTCTTAGCACAGTTCCTGTTTTTGTGTACAAATGTAAGAGTGTATGGGTTTGTGTCAGCTTCAAAGGGGGCCTGGCCTGGTAAATGTTACTGTTTTGCCAAACTGGGAATTGTCGGTTTGGAAGAGTTGACTTTCATCTAAATCCACGCCAACCCTGTTTGTTGTTTCAGGGAGAGAAATCTGTATATTTTGACTAACAGCTTTCTGGTGTTTGAATTCTCTTGCTGTTTGTTGTAGATACCATTATAGGACTGTTTCTGCAAATAGACTAAGTACTAGACAGTGAGAAAAAAAGCTATGACGACATACAGTATCTGTAAGGGCTATACCACTAAAAACAAGGGGGTCTGCCTCAATACATTAAAGCAGTGCACCTATAATAATGACTACTGTACAGTATATTATATCCTCACAGACACATTTATGTGAATAAAAAGAATCTTTGTGGGTGAAGAATAATTCTTATGACTGTTCAGGTTTCAAGTTTTATCAGATTTGCTTCATCACTCATTAGTGGATAATCTTATTGGAAAAAAATTGATATTCCAAGTATGTTAGGTTCTTCAAAATAGTATATATACCTAACAGGTGTTTCATGGTGTTTTAAGCTATAGGCTTCTCAACTTGCTTCAGGATATTAAGACTCAAAGCTGTTTCCATTCTTCTGACTGAATGATGTCTTTGTTGTATGATTTGTGTCCTAAATATTGATTTGAAAGAACTTTCTGGTAAGTTATCTTTTTTTAAGCCCATCTTTGTTCTCTTTGTTGGGATGAACACATGGTGATGTGTTCTGTTCTTTATATTCTTGTCACTTACGTTGAGTTAAACATCCGGCCCTAAGGGCATGTCTTCCCACACAGTATGGCAAGCATCAGAAAAACAAGATTAGTCAACACTTTGTGTATGTACTATTAATTAAATGACCGAAACTTATTTGAGCTGGCCACAATGTGGATAAATTATGCCATACTACTTCTGTGAAATGCCCCTAGATCTGAAACTGTCAAAAAAAGGAAAGACCTTTTTAGGGGATAAGTTCGAACACGCTTTTCTACCCTTTGTCCTGTGAAACCTCTTTCACATGTCAGTCAACCTACGCATGGCCATCTGGCTAAAAAAAAGGTCTGTGGCCAGGACATGCAGCAGTTTTGTAAGGCAAGTGACATCCACCAGACAGAGGTTAGCATCAATGCCCTGTGTGAGAAATACATTCGTTCCGCTCTCCCACACTGTGTAGAATTCCTAGCCCACACAGGAAATGCTGGCATAGAAAAAGGTTTGTTCTGTGACCACTGGAAAATTAGGGTAAGCCCCCCCCCCCTCCAACATGAGTTCTCCCTATTCTGCGACTGCAAGACTGCAACCCATGAAAAAGCCAAAATGTTTTCTTCTGTCTTGATATTATGAAGTTTTGTTACATGGTTGTAACTGTATGATTCTGTATCAGAATGAACCAATCAGAATGCAGGAACAGTTTTAACTGTTCCTGCATTCTGATTGGTTCAATCTAATTAACAATTTGCAAGGATGTCTAAATAGGAGCATGTAGGAACATGTTGTACATGTAAATGGAATAATTACTGAGGGGGGGGGTATGAGGCTACTTGCTGAATATACTATAGAGTTAAGAATATATTACAAACATCAACAGAAAAACTCTGTATAAGACGTATAAGGAGCGATTTTGCCTCTGTATTGTTACACTACAGTTTTCTTTCAATACAACGTTAGATATGAATTATGTATATCTATATGTCAACATGTTGCATCCACCTACACTGAATTCCTGAGATAAGAAGTTAAGTCTGTTAGCTCACTAGCCTGCCCACCTGTATCCCACCCCCTTGCCACCCTCATGTGCTGTAAATTGTCTTCTTGATAAGGCCAATTAGACCAGCCAGTTGTACTTTGTCTTCTGTCAGTCTTATCTCTATCAAAAGGATGTTATCAAGACAGGAGCAAGACAAGTAATCACCCCCCCTACAGGCAAACACTGGCCACTTCCCCTTCTAACCTGGATGTGGTTATTGTTAGTATTCTAGTTAGTTTCCAACATTCCGTCATCTGGACAAAAATTTTGCTCAATCTGTCATCTTTGACAGACTGAAATCGGTGTGTGAAAAAATTATGAAGTAAAAAACTTAGTCTATCAACAAAAGTTGCCTGACAAAATGCAGGAAGTAGCATTTCAGAGTGTCAAGATTTCAAAATTTTTCTGCCTACGAACAAGGCACTTGACGTAATATTACAACAACAACAAAAAAAAATTGAGATGACTGAAAAAAATTTTCAGGCTGGCTAGAACACTGGACGATTTAGGAGGATTTTGAATATTGATTTTGAATAGTGCTCTTCATAATCATAAGTTGAATCTACCTAATGGTCAGGCACCAGGGATATGATTAAGTCTTAAGATATGTTTGTTTTACTAGCAGTAATAGATTTTAATGTTTTTGAATGTGTAGTATCCTAGTGTTTTGAAGGTCAAGGTTAATTATTATATGTACCCATTCAAGCAGGGTGCCTGCCACCAAAACCACATGACTAACAACATCGACCACCTCTTCAAAGTTAGCTTGTACTCATGCTGTAGGGTGAGTCAATAGCTATGGAGTGGTCTCCTGGTGTCCCAGTTTGCTTACTACCCATCTGTCGTCATTTCTTACACAAGAAGGGAAGAACATGTTTAAACTTGCCCACCTTACATCAAAGGGCCGCACACATACCTGGAGCGCCCCGCATACCTGATTATGAATGGAGTATTATGTACCATTTTGTTCTGCATTGACTTGTATAAAAGGAATGTTGCCATTTTTTAATCGAAGATGTTTTTATTCTTTTCTTTTGTTTGGTGATGGAGTGAGTTTGATGCAATACTAGGTATTATTTAATTTTGAAATGTCAGGAAAATATATCAAGTATCATGATTATTAGGATTTTGCCTGGTGATGTAAAAATTTGCAAAATTTGTGTCACATCTTCATTTCTTATTTTCTAGCACAATAATATTATGGGTACTTGCATATTGTGTGTATCTGCAATTCTAAATGTGGCTATTCTATTTTGTCTTCTCAACAGGAAAAGCGCCCAAAATCAGAGGCCGCTTGAGGCCGGTGAAAAAACCAGAGGGCGAAGAAGTCCAACTGAAGTGTAACGTCCAGGGCAAACCTTTTCCCGCGGTCACGTGGAAGAAGGACGGCCAGCCGTTACAAAGTTTGAAATTGAAAGGAGTTCAAATCAAACCCTCAAAGTAAGTAGTACAATTTTCTTGTCTCTTTTGACGCCATTTGTTGTTATGTCAGAAAGTAGCCTGGAGTCCAGTTTATAACATAAGCTTTAGTCAGTGCCCCTAGATCAAGCTTAATACCACAGTAAATATCAAGAAGATTTCCTCATTCAGAATATTTTTGTTTTGCTGTTTGGAAATTACCCCCCCCCCCTACGATTTCCAAGTTTTCGAGATTGAAGAAATAAAATTAATCAACCCATCACTCAAACTAAAAAAATGTCAGATTGGTACCATGAGTTACATTTTGCAGGAAAGAGAAAAATCGTATCGAAAGCCTGCTACAAGTGATAAAGTATATTCTAGAAACGAAGTACTGCATACTGAAAATTCTGTGTAGTATTATACAAAGGATACATGTCTTTGCAGCTGAATGTTTGATCGATTCTGGGATGTTGTGATTGATGGGAAGACGTTATGCAATCTGGTCTCGCTATCATCAGCCGACTGCCAGAAGGCATAAAGCCGGTGATATCCCCAACTCCCCAGGCCGATTACGATATAACCTGCAGGGACCAATAAGTAGCCTTATTGGCATTCCTCCCCTGTTAGGATACAGAGAAGATCAGATACCAGGCAAAGACTTTAAATCCAGGAGCCATAGCATGTAATGACTGATCCCTGGGATGCTGTCAAAGGGTTGAAGGATTTCATGAGAACATTATTGGGGATGAGAGAGGATCTCAAAGTTCTACACTGATATCCCTGCTCACTTTCAGAGACAGCAGACTTTACCCCTTTACCCATACTGCTTTGCAACCTATCCAGTCTCCCAGACAAAAAAGTCATTTGAGAAGAAGTAAAAAGCTGTTTTCTATGTTTCAATGTGTTTTCTTTTGTAGGTAGATTAGCAGTTTTAGAAACTGTTTGGAAGCAGGGATTGCACCTGTTTGTGCATAAATTATGATAATGAGTTTGTTGTGTAACATTAAAACATGTAAGAAATAGCTTATAAGTTGTAATATTCCTTTCATTACAAATATGAAAACATCAGGTAAAACTGTTATTCCATGTTCTATTCAAACTTTGTATTTCTTTTTTCCTTTATTCCTTCTGAATTTTGTTCTTTTGTTGTCTTCTTGGGACCACAAGTGAAGCATGTAGTCATTGTGGAAGTATTGGACTTTGTCCCCTTTTGCAGTCAATGGATCAAATATGCACAGCACACCTAACTGCCACAATGCCTAACTTGTTCAGTAGCTGGGTATGGCCAAGGTGTAGCTCAGAACAAAACTCCTCATAGGAAGCAATTCTGCCAGCTTTTATGGCTATGGCAGAGTTGTGCCCAAAATGTGGAGAACACACCTCTTCTTAATTGAAAAGGTACCAAAAGAAAACTGAGGACACCTAGTTATGTCATCTGCTAAACATTGGCACATGCAGTCTGAAATACATCTTGAAGTACAGTACTGTACCTGAAAAAATCTATGAGTTAAAAGAAAACTTTTAATTACGTGAATTATGGGATATGGTGTAACAAATTACATGAATAATTGGATATTATGGAATACTGTACAGCTTGGCCATTTCACCCATGGATGGAAGCCATAAAAAGTTACATAGACCCTCAGATGTTGTAGACTCAGACAGACAAGTCGTTTGGCCTAAGTGTGGTACTTACTGACGACTTTACCCATCTGGGTCCTCTTCTATCAGTGCCATTATACTGTACTAAGTACAGTCTGTCCAAAAAGATACCATCTTTTGACCCTGTAAGGGAAGATTGCTATGGTGCTATGCATCTTATCTTGTAAGGACGGCTGCCAAGACATGTAAATCTGTACCTCGTAAGGACAAGACATAAGGCCAAGACGTTAGCTGGGTACAAATTCTACATCTACATGGAAAATTTCAACCCAGCAGGATTATGTTGTCACTCCTGGAAAAAGCGCCCCCTATTGACTCAGATTAAGACGACAGTTTGGTGTCACTGTAGTAGCACGAACTACATTGTCTTGTTCTTGGAAGAAAATTAAATAGTTTACAACTTACATTACATTTACAATAGAAATTTGCATTGTATGAATGTATCTTATATATATTATCATTATTGTTATTCAATAGTTGCCAAAGATCTCGCATCATTCTTGCTCTAGCTGTTTTTGTAAATCAAATTTGAATATTTTTGACAATATGTGATTTTTTTGTGAAGTTTATGTTGGGGGGTTGAGGAACTTCTCTTGCTATGTTCACAGTTTGCAACTTTTTCTTTTTCAGACGAGGGTCGAGAGTTAGGATTAAGAAGTTGTTACCAGAACACGAGGGTACATACGCGTGTGTAGCAGAAAGTCCTGCAGGAGACCCAGCATCTACTGAAAATACAGTATCTATTGAACGTAAGTCTTTCATTCTTATCATAGCTTTTCTACTTTAGGCCACAGATGTTTATGTCCTTGCTTCACGGATGTTTTCAAAGTATCATTCAAGAAAATAGCCCATTTTGCCTCTTACTCTTAGTTATTACTTACCAGTATATGAAGTATATAATTATGTGATATACACATAAAATCAACACACACAAGACATACAACAGAGATTTAGGACATCTATTGAGAGTATAAATATATACTAGTATATTAAAATAATATTAACCTATGTTGTCATCTAAAAGCAATGAATGAAAAAAAAATTATTTGGGTCATTTTGTTAGGTAGGATATATGGGTTTTTTTTCTAACATTTGGCATAAAACATGTCTAGACTTATTCTAGAAACTTTCAACTTTGTGACATACCCACATTATCCAAATGTACAAGTTCAGGCTTATAAACTGTAATCTTCGACTGATTATACAATCCCTTACAGTTACAGCCTTGGAATTTGTCCCTGAAATGGGCTTCGTATCCTGATAATAGCACTTCTGTTAACGTTCTAACACCAGCTTTTTGTATCAGATGGCCAATTTAATGATCAGCTTTCTTGGCATCGGCACTAAAGAACTTGAGATAAGCCCCTGCCCAAGACATATCTCTCCCCTTACTTCTTATTGGGAACTACATCTTGTTAAGTTTACTACAATGACTGACAGGTTTATCATGCAGTAACTGAGGATGATGATTGGGTCTAGTAGTAGGGACAAAATATCTAGAATTCAGCATTCTGGCTGCTATTTTTAGCAAAAGGGCAATTTAGAAAAAGAGATGTGTGTTACAGACTTCTGATTGACATTTTAAAAATGCACTGCCCCCTTATGATACTAGTATGTGCTGTTGAGCAACAGTTACTTATGTTTAAGACAGTTTTACCACAAAATTCTGGATTGTTCGAATTGGCAGGGACCAGGATACCAAGATATCTTGTAGCTATCTTGTGTTCATCATAAATGTGTTTAACCCCATATTTTATTTCAGAATTGATATTATTTCCCAAGTTTTTATCAGGATGTAATGCAAATCATACTTTTGACATCTTCTCTCGTATAACACGTTATAAACACCATTTGTTTTGCCTGGCAAATGACAAAACCTTTATAGCATACACCTTGTACATACAGGGTCTCTGATAATCATGATATATTACCTGTTTCAAATAAACGGCCTAATTACGTACTTAATTATCTCCAGCACATGGATGGACCAATTTCCCAAGTCGTTTTTTTACCTGTCATGAGGTCATCGACCTGAGATGGGTTACCATAGAAACCAAGGATTATTAAAATGTAGCTTGTCTGAGTGAAGGTGACAGATCTGGAGCATGGTTAGTGAACTGTGGTCACAGATTGACAGACTGTATGTCATGTGGTGTTCTGTGAGGACAAATGACAGGACTGACCAGCATGTACATGTAGTAGGGCTCGAAATTCATTTTTGGAAATACAGTACCGTTCGCGTTATAGTTAACCGGGTACCCCGTTACTAACGAGTTATTTTTTCGTCAGAAAATGGTTAGAAAATCGTCAGTATTTGGTTAGATTTTCGTCAGAAAATGGTTAGAAAATCGTCAGAAATTATTTCTAACGCGTTACCGTTTGCGTTAATGTGAAAGGGTCGGATTTCATGTTTGTTTTGCGCGCCGACAAGACAATAGCAATTTGCCACCTCCTGGGGCGTCCGCTAATGTGTTGCGATGTTGCCCCTTGAAAAATAACAGCACCAGAGGCAAGTGGACATGTGATTCGTAAAATAACTTTGTGGTTTATCCATGTGTCGACTGTGTGAAGCGAATTGTGCTATCTTTTAATGCTATTCTATAGTTATTTCTAGCGGAAAATTACGTTGTGTAATACAATGTATGTCAACAAAGTGTAGCAGTGGGCAGACGATGTCTTGTACATTTTGTACCAGCGGCGGCCTACCGCTCTCACAGGACGTCATGGGACGTGACGAAACAAGAAATATCTGCCGTAGAAGAAATATAAATCGGTAACTCATGCCTTAAATTCACGGCGGTTTTTGACACAAAAGAAAAATTATTATAATTTTTGTAAGGCGCGCGGCTTACTAGTACTAGCGGCTTTAATACTCACGGTAAAATGTACCGTCACTCCCGGCGCAAGGACTCGGTTCGCCAGCTGAGGACTTTCCACAACCATGATGATATCATAGTTAATAAAGGAATATATAATAGATCTATCATGTTGAAATGATAATTGTAATACATGGTTCTATTTAATAGCGGTAGTTTTGTTTCTTATTTTGAGGGGGGAAACTGTCAAAAATCGAGGGAACGCAAACTGAGATCGGCTCACTTCCGGGTGCATAACGCCAAAATTTCTCGACGATTATATAAAAATGACCACTCATTTGCCGCCTACGGTAGCGTGTACATGGTAGTGCGATCATATCGTGCCAAAGTCAGCGTCAAACGTCAGAAAATCCCCGTAAAAATATAGTTGCGAAACACATTTCCCGCGCACTCAGGGCCGGTCGCCCTGGCCGCTGCCGCCCTGTATGCAGCATGCTCATTATAATATGCAAGTAGCTACGCTCTGATTGGTTCACCTTAGATGACCTGCGCTGTGTATTGGCTAGAACGAAGCCCGTTGCATGCTGGGGCGCCCTTCCCCGCGCGAAATGATCTCGAGAGAGCCACATTTACGCTGGTTCTACCTTATTCTACGACTAATTAGC